CACACACACACACACACACACACCATCACCCTCTCTCTCTCTCTGTCCCCGGTTCCGTTTGTCTCCTGGTTATCCCAGCTGGGACCGCTGGACTCCCTCTGATTGGCCGTGAGGAGCGGTGATGTCACCGCCTGCTCCTCGGTCCCGGCGCGGGAGTGCAGCTCCAGAGAGGAGCCCCCCTCCAGATGGAGTTGACGCGCGATGGGCTAGGAGCTGCGCGAACGGCCGCCGCGCGCCGCCCGCCTCCGCCTGGATGAACCCGAGCCGGTCCAGCCCTCAGCGCAAGCAGCCCGTCATGGGTGACGGCGGTGCGTCCCCGCCGCTGAGCCTCCGGAACGGCACGGGCAGCGAGGCGTCCGCCGCGCCGGGCTCTCCTCCGGCCGCGTCCGAGCAGTGGATGGCCGCGATGAGCCTGGTGATGGGGCTGATCGTCGCGTCCATCGTCTTCGGGAACATCCTGGTCATCGCGGCCATAGCCAAGACGCAGCGGCTGCAGACCCTSACCAACGTCTTCATCGTGTCGCTGGCCGGCGCGGACCTCATCATGGGGCTGCTGGTGGTGCCGTTCGGCGCCGCGCTCGAGGTGCGCGGCTCGTGGCTCTACGGTTCGTTCTTCTGCGAGTTCTGGATCTCCGTGGACGTCCTGTGCGTCACGGCCAGCATAGAGACCCTGTGCGTCATCGCCATCGACAGGTACGTGGCCATCACCTCGCCGTTCCGCTACCAGAGTCTGCTGACCAAAGCTCGCGCCAAGGCGGTGGTGTGCGTGGTGTGGGCCATCTCCGCGCTGGTCTCCTTCCTCCCCATCCTCATGCACTGGTCGCGCGACGCCCAGGACACAGCCTGCTACGAGAACCCGGAGTGCTGCGACTTCGTGACGAACAGGGCGTACGCCATCTCCTCCTCCATCATTTCTTTTTACATTCCTCTCCTGGTCATGATTTTCGTTTACGCGCGGGTCTACAGGGAGGCCAAACTGCAGCTGAGGAAGATCGACAAGTGTGAGGGCCGGTTCCACAACACCCTGACCGGACTCACGTCCAAGTGCAAGAAGAGGCCTTCCAAGATCCTGGCRCTGCGGGAGCAGAAGGCGCTCAAGACTCTGGGCATCATCATGGGGACGTTCACCCTGTGCTGGCTGCCMTTCTTCATAGTCAACGTGGTGCGCGTGTTCTGCGCGGAGATGGTGGACAAGAACCTGTTCGTGTTCTTCAACTGGCTGGGCTACGTCAACTCGGCCTTCAACCCCATCATTTACTGCCGCAGTCCGGACTTCCGGAAGGCTTTCAAGAGGCTGCTGTGCTGCCCGAGACAAGCCGACCGCAGGCTGCACGTCAGCTCGTGCGACCTGTCGCGCTGCTCCGGCGGCTTCGTGTCCGCGCTGGAGCCCGGCACCTTGGAGATGTGGTCCGACTGCGCCGTCCTGGACAACAGCGACAGCAGCCTGGCCGCCAAACTGTCCCACTCTGAATCACAACTTTGAAAAAAAAAAAAAATACAAACTAAAACATTGATATATTGAAACATCAACCTGCTGCGGGGTTAAAGTGCGGAGAGACACGAGCGTCATTTTTGGGGAAAGTTGTGCGTAAAATCCACCCAGACTGAATGTTATCCTGCAGGCCAACAAAATAAAACACCCAAATTAAAAAAAATAGAAAATAAAGCATCGATCCAGAGCAGCTTTGTGGGAAAGATTCAGTCGCAAATTCATTTTTTGGATGTTAGAGAAAAAGAAAGCTGCGCAAACAGTGCGCGCTTTAGGGGAAGGAGCGCACGTCTCAGATGTGATTATTTCGCACAAAGGCGCGTTTTTACGTCAGATTTATTGGATAAACAACCTCACCATGCGCCTAGGACGATGTTGATAGAGAAAAGAGTTTTAATCATGTGTTCATAATGGGAACCAGTTCATGTTTAAAACAGAACACCATTGGAGAAGCGCAGACTGCGTGTTTTACCTCACAGGCAGCTGCGTTTCTATACTTGTTTATATTAAACATACTGTAAAATGTCTTTTATTCCGCGCTGTCTTTTACACCTAAAAGCAAAGTTAAGAGGAGCGGATGTCTGGTTTTCTGTATCGTGGTGTGAAGTCGTCTTTAAGGTGATTCTGTGTGAATAAAACTGAAGTTCTCTTGTTTGTTTAGTTACTGTTTGAGCTTCAATTTCTGTGTGCTATTACAGCAGAAAGACTTGAATTAATCACTGCTCTTTTTTTAAACTGTTTACCAAAATTTTAAAGAAAGGAAGAAAGGGAAAAACAATAACAAAATAAGAGTTAATTGCTTGTTAACTGCTGAGAGCAGCTGGAATCTGATTTGCCTCAGATGACGGATGAGCCACAAAACTTTTTAAAACAAGATCAACAAGTTTGTTTACATGTTTACCCTTTCAGATTTAAGATGCAAACTGCTGATGCAAGCCTGACAATGTTTGCCATAAAGATTGTTGTCTGTTAGCAAAATATCTCATGAACCACTGGACTGATTTCATTGAAACTTGCAGAAAACAATCACTGGATGTACATCTGTAAAGGACTGCTTTTGGAGTCAAACCGATTCAAAAATGGCCACCACAGCCAACTGATTTTAGAAAACACAAAAATGGTTATAACTCTGTCCAATTTGCTGTTTTTTTTATTTTTTATTTTGCATTAATTTGGTGGTAGTAGCTGAGGGTTATACACCAGTGTTTCCCAAAGTGGGGTCCTGAAACATAAAGGTGGGGTCCTGAAAAGATTTTCTGAATTAATTACATTTTTGCGTTATTTGTTACAAAGGAGTGAGGTTAGTGTATTTAAAATGGATAAATGTAGTATAAAAATATTGTTACTATGCCCATGTTTAGTTGACCTGTTACAAATTTTTATGATCCAAAAATAGTTGGGGGCACAGGTCTCTGCTACTGTTATTTTGTGGGTCAAAAAGGTTTGGGAACCACTGCACTTTGGTTCCCAAAGTTGGGCTTGGGACCCAATTAYGGGTCATGAAGCACCTTGGATAATCTCCAGAAATCAATTTAAAGGGTAATAAAATAATTGCTGATGTAATATTTTCCCTATAATTATTACAAAAACACAAAATAAATATAAATAATTATTTATAGTTGTGTACAAGCTGTTTAGATTGTCAAAAAGCCTGTGTTTTTAGGGTTATTAACAAAGTTCGTGCACTCAGACCAGTAATATTTGGGGTCACAAGTTTTGCCATGAATATTTTGTGGGTCAGAAGATAAAAAGTTTCGGAACCACTGTTATACACAACAGTAGCACTCCACATTGCACGACATATTTGCTAAAAGTTGGCATTAATTGTTGGCATCAACCCTGTTTGTCTGTTAGCAAAATATCTCATGAACCACTGAACAGATTTGAAGGAAACTTTCAGGAAGTAACAAAAAGATGTACAACTACAACTGATAAGCATTTGGAGTCAATATGATTTAGGCTGGGTGCTATGGCTCATCTTCCTTGGTTGACACATTAATGGTGATAACCAGTTTTACATATATTGAGCTGAAGATTTGAAGTAGTCCATTTACAAGATTTGGCAAAACAGCTAAGGCAGACGGGAATATGCGTTCGTTCAAATAATTCTATAGTCCCAAATTAAGTTTGTGTTTTTCTCTTATTAAGACATCTGACATCTGTTAGCAAATGGTAAACATTTGTTGCATTACATTGTTAGATGCGTGCGTTGTGCTTCAACAAATTGAAAAGAAAAGTATAAAATGTGAAGAATATTGTTTTCACACAAAACTGGAGCMAAACCAGCGAGTCAAAATAGAGAAAGTTTTGAAGTTTTTTTTTTAGTTTTTACATTTTAGTTCAAAGTTTCTGGTCTGCAACAAAGACCTGTGCTGATGTCCAAGCAGAACGGGGGGTTTGAACGTGTGAAAATTTAAAAACGTAAMAAGTTTTGCACCGTTTTTTTGTTACAAACACCAATGAACAGCAGGACAGGAGACAGAAATCCAGTTAAAAAATGGGAAAAATGCTTTTCAACATTAAAAACAACAATTAGATTCTTTGTTTTGTGTCTTTGGAAAAAAAAAAGTTTCAAAGCCATAAAATGCAGCTGTAATTGTCTAACTCAAGCTGAGAGACCCCTGGTTGTTTAAAGCTTTACCGACAAGAAGAATTTAAATTTCAGACCTCAGRGGAGAATCCTGGAAGTATAACTACATGAAGAGGGTTGGTGTGAAAGAGGAGGATGATGGTGAAATGATGAGATGGAGCCAGATGTTCTGCTGTAGCGACCACTGAAGGAAGCAATCAAGAGAAGAAGCGAAAGAGTCAATTCAATTAGTGACACTAAAGCAAAAATAACAGTAAAAGGTGTAAAAACATTTAAAAAACTCCAAAATAATCATTTCAGACATAAAAAAGGGCTGCAAAACTTCAGGATAAATCTGTGTTAATTAGTTTGGGTCAGAATGGGACAAAACCAGTGTGGCTTCTCCGTCAGATAATCCTCCCCACAACTTTACTTCCTCCTCTCCCCACAGAGTCCTCCTCTAAAAGCCTGCAGAAAGTGTTTTAACAAACATCACAGCTGGTGTTATGAAGTGGCTCTAACAGGAGAGATTTGCCTTTCTCTCTGAGGAATATTAATTAGCCCTTAAGCCGGGCGTCTTTAAAACACATTAGCATGATGTGCTCTGCTAATGATGCTCCTCCAAAAACAAAACAAAAAAAAGAGTCGAACATTTCATTTGGACCAACAAGAGCTGAACGAAAGTGAGCTCAGCTGTTTTGGCTGAGGAACACTGTTTAGACATGATTGGCTAAAGTAATGAGTGTGAATAAGACCCATGTTTTTTTATTTATTTATTTATCTTTGGGCTTTCATTCAAAGGAGAGAAAAAAAACAACAGCTGAAATCACTGATGGCCACCTGCCAACGACCTGCTAAATTATTGACCATTGTTTGTTTGGCTGAAGGTTTTGGACAGATTAGCGCTGCGCTCCCAGATGGAGAAGCTAATCGGCTGCTTTAAGAATAATCGCTTCAAATTGCTTGTGTATCGCTCCACGTTTTGGCTGCTCAAAGGGAAAGCGAATAGATTGCTATCTGCTTGACCTCTGCGAGCAAAACCAGAGATTAGTGATGGTGAGGATAAACCCAGCAGACACTTTGATAGGTGCTCCTTTTTTTCTCCCCCCTTGTGGAAACAGATCTTCGAAATGTTGGCTCCAAAAGAACCCGAACACATTGTCCTCTTTAGAAACATTATTCTTCGTAAAGAAGCCGTTGGCAGATGGCTGCACGGTGGTTCGGAAAGGATGGATGTGGTTTTAGCAGAGATACTCGAGTAGGTGATTACAATTTTGTGATTACTGGGGGGGGAAAAAAGGTGCCAGAGCCTGGCTCCCACACCAGCAGCAGCCTGGATTGTTGTCACAAAGCAGAGCGTATCCGTGTCGTCGTGGTGTTTGGGCCAAGTTCTGTCCTTCCATCTGAACACTGCAGATAAATCAACACCAAATCCGATGAGTTACTAGTCATCATTAGTCCAATTTTTGTTTGTACAGTTGCGGCTTTTTGGACTTTTCATTGTTTTGATTATTCTGGAAACCAACAAAATTAGTTTCATGAGGGGAAAAAAAATTGTCCAAGATGTCTTTTTATAACTATTTTCCCCGACTTTATAAACTTCCAGTGCATTGCATTTAATTACAACTTAAATGCTACAAGGTTCAGAAGGCGTGTGCTGAAGCACAAACACAAACTACTAACACCCGCCTCAAAGTACTACAATATAATTGGCTAATGAGAACATATGTGACGCCAGAAAAGCTTAATAAGTATAATGGTGCCATCCCAGACCTGTGTACTAGATGTGGAGAAGAGAAGGGAACATTCTTCCATTGTGTTTGGAAATGTAAGAAAGTTCAACAATTCTGGAGGGAGATTAAACAAGCTCTAGAGGCTATATTAGATATAAAACTAGCTTTGGACCCCAAATTGTTCATCCTAGGTTTGTATCCTGATAGACATTATATGTCGAGAAAAATAATTACTGCCGTGGATTTATGTTTACAACTTGCAAAGAGAGTCATAGCACTTTCATGGAAGAGTACCACTAAGCCGAATTTCATTACCTGGATTAAAGAAATGTCCACAACATTACAATTGGAAAAGATTACTTACATTATAAAAGGGTAACTATCACTATTTCAAAATATTTGGGGTCCTTTTATGCAATATATATTGAGCATGGTTGTGAGGGGTGGGGCGGATGAAGGATAGTTGGTCCCCTGCAGTGCAGTGTCCTAGGATAATGTCTTTTATTTGTRTACTTGATTTCTTTACTTTGAAATATACATTCAAGATTGTATTTTCTGAACCACCACTAAAATAATTTGGGCTAACTCTTGAAAATATGGAAACCGTTGTTACCGTGTTTGTTGTTTTCTTTTCTCGGGGTCATCATGGGGTAGGGGGTTAAGGGAGTTGGTTTGCTTTTCTTATAAACTCTGTGTGTAATAAGTGCTGCTCTAAGACATCTCAATGTCTTGACTGGCAAAGAAAGGCAAGTTGAATGATGGACAATAATTTAACCACTCTTTTTCCTTTGATACGAGAGCACGCTTATGTCCTGTACATTATAGAAAGCACTGTTGTAAAACCAATAAAGATAATGTTGGAAAAAAATGCTAGAAGGTTCTAGCATTCCTAACAGGAACACATATCACGTCATCTTACCTGCCACAGTTTCAGACTATCACAATATGTTGAGAAATAATGGAGTAGTAGTTCTTTTTGGGCAAAATTTAAGATTCAACATGTCAGATTTGTTTTTTGTTTTTTTTTACTACTACATCAAATTTGAGCTCAATATTTGTTAAGTTGGCGGCGCTAGCGCCACGTTTGTGTCAGCTAACGTTGATTAGCTACGGCGGCCTTCTTACTCCAAAAGTTCATCTGTTTCAGACACACAGTGGTTCAGTTTTGAAAATTTCCTTCAAATCTGTGCAGTGGTTCATGAGACTGACTCCAGACACTGAGGAGCACTTGAGGATATATGTTGTGAATGCCTCTCACCAACAAAAACACCAAATTTTAGCTCAATATCTGTAAAACTGACTGAACTATAGCCATTTTGAGGTTTTCTAAGAAATGTGGCGGCCATCTTGAAAGGTGT